AGACGACGTTTGAACTGAAAAACTCAACCGAAAATGGGGGTCATTCATTAAAATTTTAATTAAAAAAAGAACTAGTGTTGAAAAAAGAACTTGGAAGTGGAGGGTAGTCTTATACAGCGAATATAGGCCTAAAACCTATGTTTTTACTGTAAAATTAGGGGGGGGGGGTCGTCTTATCGTCTTATACGCCGGAAAATACGGTATGCCTGGCTGGCGTGGCTCAGTGGTTGACCATCGACCTATGAATCAGTTGGATTCCTGGTCAGGGTCAGGGCATATGCCTGGATTGTGGGCTCAATCCCCAGTATGGGTCATGCAGGAGGCAGCCAATCAATGATTCTCTCTTATCATTGATGCTTCTATCTCTCTCTCCCTCTGAAATCAATTAAAATATATATATATATATATATATATATATATATATATATATATATAATTAGAAAAATATAGGTTAAAGAATACTTTTTAAAGCTTCTAGCTAAACACTGGAAGCTGGTTCTCTTTCTTCTGGCCCACTGATGAATATGAAAGCATGTAATGCTTCTATGCTGACTCCCATTCAAATGAAGCTATTCTGAATCTTCTTTCTGATTATTAATTGTGAATTACTGGATACTCCCAATGTTATGCATCTGTTATGCATTCATGCTTTTCTTTAAAGTATCTGTTTTTAATTTTTCTGAGCAATTTTCTTTACCTTCAACTTTAACCTACATTCTTTTACATTTGTCATATCGTCCGCCATTCACAAAGTATGTTCTGTGGAACATTAGCTATGTGATACTTTAAGAAAGGCTATAGGACAAAAAACTACAACAACAAAATGAGTGGGTTTTGAGGTAAAAAATGTCTGGAAAGTAGTGAGTTAAGTGAAAAAAATAAACAAACAAAAAAACTTTTGTAAAGAACTTCTCAATTTCTATAAGTGCCAATTTATAAGCCATATAAGAAAAATAAAGCTTAGACAGTTATTTCCAAAATTATTTCAACATCCAACCCTCTTTTGAAGAACACCCAATGAGGTTACCATTCATTTTTTAAAAAATTGCTCTAAGTGCTTCCACATACTTCTGTATATCCAAATATATTTGCTGAGTCTTAATGAGGGAATTGAATCTTGAACCTTCTTTCTAAGGTGGCATTCCCAGCCACTGCTAGAAGTCCATTATTTCAGTAATGTTAGCCATTATTCAAAAAATGAAATACAATTTCATGAATAGCCTATATAATAAAAGCCTAATATGCAAATTGACCAAACAGCAGAATGACTGGCAGAACGACCGATCACTATGATGTGTACTGACCACCAGGGGGCAGATGCTCAACGAAGGAGCTGCCTCCAGCTCACAGGCCCCAGGCCAGCCAAGATGGGTGTCACCAGGAGCCCCCAGATCATCCTACCAGTGGCCCTGCAGAGGGAGGCGACTGGCAGCAATGGCGAGGGGTGAGGTGAGGCTGGTGAGCAGGTGGTACCAGGCCAGCCAAGATGAGTGCCAGCGGGGCCCCCAATTGCCCCACGCATTGGCCCTGATTGCCAGCCAGGCCTAGGGACTCTACCCATGCACAAATTTCATGTACCTGGACTCTAGTAATTTATAAGCAGCTATTCACTTCCTAAACTTTCTTTTTCCTCCCTAAATTCAAATATCCAGAGGATTAAAACCACTGAATTCCCTCAAATCCTTCAAGTTTTATAGGTATAAAGTCAAAGTCACCAGAAACACATACCGGGTTTCTTTCTGGTATTATCTATTGCTCATTCTCTTGTGATTCAGCAAAGTGGATAATGGTTTGCAAACTGTCAAATCTCAGAAGTCTACTACAGAAATGACAATAACAAATACCATGGGGATGTTCTGCTTGTTCTGGGGAGCTCCATTAGTTTCAGGATTTTTTTTTTTTCTCTTCTGGTTTCTCTATATTCACTCTTTTGCATTTGGCAACTCATCAGCTTCTTAAAAATAATATTAATTCTTCAGGGCTTCCTTAGCATTCTCTCCCCTATCCCTGCTTCTTTCTTAACAATTTCTAATATTCCACAAGAATGTTTCATACTATTAAAAAGCAGAATATAAGCAGTTACTTACACAGTTTATTTCTTCCTAAGTAGAGCATGATGTTCCTGTCTCAAATACCTGATGAATGCCGTAAGCCCCCTCTTTCTAGATATATCATCCAATTGCACTTTAAAATATCCGCACATTGATAATTTCCATCCAAATATATTCCCGGTCCTCCTCTTTTTACTAAATTTGAGGTCCTCAAGTTCTGGTGGTTATTTTTAGGTTGAACAGCTAGTGGCACCTGAAACTCAACACCGTCAAAGCAGAAATCTTTTTTCTTCCCTATCTTCTCTGCCTCGGTCATCTGATTGGACTCATTTATCCTATACACCGTGATGGGAGAATTGTCTCTTAAAAATGTTAGTTAAATCCTATAGATCTCTGGTTTAACATCTTCTAATGAATTGCCAGTGCATTGAGAATAGAATAAAAAACATACCATGGCTTTCCAGACCCTCTGTCATCCGGCTTCTACCAGCTCTCTGTTATCATCGCAGGCATTTGCCCTGCTTTTCCTGTGCCTTGAAAATGGCAGGTACGTCTTGTGTTAGGCTCTCTGCACCAGCTGCTCCCTACACCTAGCATGTTAATTCCCCCAGGTCCACTCAGGCTGGCTCCCTTCTGTCATCAGGCTTGGCTCAAATGTAACCTCAGTGAAAACCTTCCCTCATGTCTACATTTCTTTCTCCACCCTCTTCCCCACAAGTCACTCCTGTTACTGTTGCATTATTTTTATTCATTGTAATGATGATTGCCAGACATAATCCTTTGTTTTGTTTTCCTTCTTAATGTTATGGCAGAAAACCTGTCCATCTTCACAGCTGCATACCTGGTGCCAGTATAAGTGCCTGCAGAGAAGGTCTTAATACATCATAGTGGTATCTACAAACATGAAAGTCTCCACCTTTCCTGCATCTTAAGCCACACTACCTTTCTTGCACATTGATCAGCAGAATTTTTTTTTCTAGAAGTAGGAAACTGTGGGCATACTGATTTTATTCCATGGTTGAAGAACAAACAAACAAACCCCGCAAAACACATTTTCTGTCATTAAAAAGCAAAAACAAAAACAAAAAAAAAACACCTGCTAGAGGATCAGAAGAGCATTGCATCGTGAATATTTCCATCATTCTCCTAGCTTAGTTTTATCTGGCATATTAGAACGAAATTATTTTGTTCTATTTTGTTTGTTTGTTTGTTTGTTTGTATGTATCTTGACCTCAGGTCCTGACCCAGAACAAGGCATTACAAGGCAATTTTCAGAAATAAGTAAGCGGGGAAAACACAACACACACATAAACCTTCTCACATCAAATACAGGCAGAATAAATTCAAACCCCTTCTACAGCAGTAACACAATGTTGTTGGAAACATTCAATGCTCCAATACTGACCCTGGGAATGAACTCTAAGGGAAAACTACTTTGCAGTGCCTTGTTCTGGGCCAGGACCTGAGGTCAAGATATAAACAAACAAACAAAATAACATGTACATATATCATGGCTCTCTTGGGGATGCCCCTGTGTGCTTGAGTAAGGGAAGTAGAGAAATAGGCAGCATGACTGGCTACCAATTTGCTTAGTCCACTTCAAAATGAAAAATGAAAGATGCCTGGAGGGTGACAGGCAGCAGACCATGTGGTCCAACCTTTACACCTAGTAGGTCCTTCTGAGATGGGGCCCTCAGGCTCATGAAGCCTGTCCTACTGGAGAGATGATTAGAATTCATCTTCAACCCCTACTTCCCCACTCCCTCCAAAGCACCAGCCAGTAGGAACATCATTTTACAAAAGTAGAGCGGGGTTGCCCAGTCTCCAGTGGCGCTGGGCGGAGCTGGAAGCCTCATCCCACAAAGCCCACTCAGGAGTGATAGAAGAGGGAAGACAACAGGGTTTCCGAGGGTCCGGGACTAGAAGCTCCAGACACAGAAGATAAGGGAAAGGGAAAGAGGCCGCATTAGACTTTCCTCCTGTCTTTATGGAGACAATGCCCCTCAAACACACACACACACACACACACCAAACCCCCCCCCAAAAAAAAAAACCAAAAAAACACCCCCCCCCCCAAACAAACAAACAAACAACAACAAAAAAAAAAAACCCACAAAAAAACCCCAAGAGGTTCTTTGAATCCAGCCACTTGCATACTCTGGTGTCTTGGGAGCTGCGGTGGAGGAGGTGGGCTGGGGATCAGGGTGTGCCAGAGGGACAAAAAAGTAGAGACAGGTTCAGATACATTTCCTTGGACCTGCCTCCCACCTGCTCGGGCCATAAACCCCAGGCTCCTGGGAGAAGCCGGGATGTACGGGGTCTCCTGGGACCCGCTATCTCCCTCCTCCCGGTGGACTGCGGGGCTCAGCGTCCTCGGGGCCATCACCGACCACAGGTGGCCTCTCTAGACGTGCTGTCCTCGGGCTTTTGGGAGTCCCGCGGGGAGCCCCGGGTCGAGCCCTCGCCGGCGTCCCGGGCCCCGCACCGGCCCCGCCCGGCGGCGGGAGGGCCAGTCCAGGGGCAGCGGGCGGCCACCCAGCGCCCTGCGGCCACCGCGGCCGCGCGCCTCCTGCGCTTCCCGCGCCCGCCGGTCGGAGGCTCCGTGCGCCGCCCCGGCTCCCCCGCCCCCGCCCGCCGCCCCGCCCCCGGCGCCCGGGCAGCCCCGCCGTCCGGCCGGAGCCCCGGCGGTGCGGCTCAGGCGGCGCCTCCCTGCGCGGCGCCCGCGCTCCCGGCGCCGCCGTCCTCCCGCTCGGCCATCTTCCCGCCTCCCTCTCCGCTCCGGAGCCCCAGCCCCGGTCCGGCCCCCGCGCGCGGGGACTTTTCCGGAAAGTTTTCATTTTCCGCCTCGGGTCTCGGAGAAAGCAGCTCCCGGCCCCCGCAGCGGCTGCAAACTTTTCCGCCGCCGCTCCGCGCCCTCGGCCGCCGGACCCGCGCGCGCCCCGCGCAGCGATGAGCGCCCCCCCGGCGCTGCGGCCGCCCAGCCCGCTGCTGCCCGTGGCCGCGGTGGCGGCGGCGGCGGCGGCCGCGCTGGTGCCGGGCTCCGGGCCGGGCCCCGCGCCCTTCCTGGCGCCCGTGGCGGCGGCGCCGGCGGCGGGCATCTCCTTCCATCTGCAGATCGGCCTGAGCCGCGAGCCCGTTCTGCTGCTCCAGGACTCGGCCGGGGACTACAGCCTGGCGCACGTCCGCGAGATGGCTTGCTCCATCGTCGACCAGAAGGTAAGCCCGGCCGCCGCCCGCCCGCCGCGCGGGGGGCGCTCCCGCCCGGTGCCCGGCGCCCCAACTTTCCGGGTCCGGCCGGGCGCGCAGCCCGCGGCCAGCCTCCCGGGAGCTCCCGGAGGGGACCGGCCCCCTCCCACTGGGACGGCCGCAGGCATCCCGGGCACAGCATTCCTGGTGTCCAATTCACCCTCGCCCCAAGCTGTATTCACTCCCGGTTTCTCTGCAGCCTGCATCCTCTCCCCCCATTCCCGTCCCTCTCCGGACGGACTTGGCCAGGTATCTCGCCCTTTTCTGGTCTCGCTTCTCCCAACTCGGGAGACTTTCGGGCTGGGTCTTCCCTGGCTCCCCCTGGACCAGGTCATTCCAGGCGCCAGAGTCCCCTGGGACCCGCTCATGGTGTTTCAGCACCCCTCCCTTCGGTAGCCTTCCCCCGCAATCCCTCTGGCTCGGATGGATGCTGAGAAGTTCCTGGAATCATCTGGACAGGAGGAATTTCTCACCTGTCACATAACGCTTTTAAGAGAGGGGGATGGACTGGGCCAGCTGTGAAAACAACTGACTTAGAAAACAAACTACCCACTTACCTCTAGGTGAACGAAGCTGCAACTTCCAAACTGTATTTCCACATACAGTTTGGAAGTTGCAGCTTTTCTTGTTTTTCATCCTGGGGTCACTGGGAGGGGGGCGTGGAAGTGGGGCACAGGCGTTTCCAGGGTGGGGTGCTGCGCTGGATGGGGCGCCCGGAGACCGCGCTGAAGTTTGTGGCTGTGAAACTTTGGACAGCGGCCATCCATCCAAGGCAGGTTAAAGGCCATTATCCTGGGTCAGGCCCCCCTGGGAGGGGACCATTAATGGTGCAATTCTGAGTTTCAGATTGTTTCTGCAGCCATCCAGAGGAGGGTTGCATGGAGGGGGTGATAAGAGTAGAAAGGAGAGGGGACCCTGGCGCCTTTTAGTGTAAATAGCCAAGGCTTAAGGGGGTGGAGACAGGTCTGTAAAGGTGCAGAATTTCAACCCCGAAGGACTGGCTGGTACTTGCCTTATAACTATCACTGGGATAATCAGGAATGCTTTCTTTAAACTTGGGGAGCAGAGTTTGCTAAGCCAGAGTGTTGTGTGAATTGTGGCACCCAGCGCGGGGATATTTAGGAAAATCCGCTGGAGAAAAATCACTGTCCTAGAAGTTGTGAAAGTTCTGGCTCCCAGGCTAAGGTAAGGATAGACGCCAGGGAAAGCATTCATTGAAGGGAGGGACATTTTATATTACACTTGACTCTCAGTTTTTTGCAACTTCCATGGAAATGACATATTTTGTCTAATTCTGGTACCAATCATATCAGGTGCCTCCTCATCAATATTTTTTTTGGGGGGAAACCTGTAGCAGGTGAACAGGACCACCCCCCTAGGCACTGCAAGCCTTCCCTCTATGGATGTTGTAGTCTACAGCAACCTCTCTCAGGGGGTCAACAGTCAATTAAAGAACACTGGATAAACACATAAAAAATGTACAATGAAATTTCCCCCAAAGCAAATGCAATTGTATGGGATTTCACCTGAATTTTAAAGCAGGTGATAGAGTGATAGGGAGTATTTGAATTGGTTCAAATTAATACGAACAGGCTGTTTTTGACACTTTTAAAACACACACACACACACACACACACACACACACACACACCCCTTGATGGAGCTTAGGATGGGGAGAAACATGTGGTGTAAGAAGTTTGGGATTGGAATGTTGAATGAAGAGTGAATTCCAGTCATATCAGCAGCTAACACGGGCTATGCTATATGGAGGGAGCTATATGAGTGCAAAGGGAGAGGGACTGTAAGGTTCTGTGGAACACAGCAGGCCTGAGGGTAGTGACTAGGATATTTAGAGAAAGTGTAACTATGAAAAGGCCTTGAAATGAAAAGGAGCTCACATTACCAGAAGCCTCCGTAATCTCCTACATGGAGATATCAAACCAAGGCCAGCTGAAAGATGGATTTGCTACGTGGAGGATGTTTTAGAATGCCAAACCTATTAAGGCAGAAAGAAAACTGGAGTTCCATCATGTGCCAATTGAGACCTGAACCAAACATGGGGGTGGGGGACACCTGGAGGAATGCCGGAAAGAAAATCACCAGCCCTGGTGACTGATTTAAAAGGGGGGCCCCTTCTCTTGGTATTTAATCCAGTAGTTCTTCTGTCTCTCACAAGAAGAGTTTGAAAAGTTTGACTGCTTGGTATAGCCAAGATGAGGTCTCGCACTTTTATTGTTAAAGGTTATGGCAAAGGGAGAGATAGATTCAGAGATGTGGATTTAAGAGTTACTAATATTCAGGGTACTGTAAATAAATACTGGATGGTGGGTCTAGACAGGAACATTTCCATCTATCTTGAGACATGTTATCATGCAGGCAGAATTCAGAGGGCAGCATATCCATACAGGGGAGCAGAGATGGTCAGTGTGGAGTTACAGAAGAGTGAGGTGGTCCTTTGTTCTTTATTTCAGTTCTCTTGAAGTACTTTCTGAAGGCAGCCATGTGAGGAAGATTGGCAAGAGGGAGCGGGAGGGCATGGGGAATGAATGTTGTGGGAGAAAGCTGAGAGTTTTAAGTCAATTACAATTTGCTAGTAGACAGACTGGAGTCATGTTGATATTACAGCGGTCCTCTGCTTTTATTGTTTTATAATGTGTTAAGAGGGTTTTCAAAGGTTAGAGAGTTCCCTAAATACTAAGGTCAGGCCAGCTTAAATCTTTGGAAGTCTTAGCTGACAATTCTGTTTATTTCAGCAACATTCCTGGGACATTTCTGTAGGCTGAGGTGGACAGGGCTGAGTGAGGGAGATCCTGAGAAACACATCTCGAACTTACTATTTAGAATTTAGAGTTTTCTTCAGTTACCTAGATTTGAAGAGTGTCAGAGATCTGACTGTACTTAAAAGAATTTTGGTGGCAACTAAACAAAAAATGTTCTTTCTTTAATATAAAAGTACCCTGTACACTGACTTATGAAACGAAATAATTATTTCTTTTATCTTGAAGGTCAGATGAAAATCTAACCTTGCTTTTTGTATGTAACAGTGCATGAATATAAAAGATGTGATTAATTCCTTCTTTTCTGGAAATGTTTGCTCACGGTTATATTTATTATGTTTATTTCTTCACTTTGCAGGCATGCAACCTTGAAGGCTGGTTGTGTATAAAGACAAGTACTCTTAGTGTACATGATTATAGTTATTAAAAAAGAACAGTAATGGGCCTCACTTTGAAACACAGTTACTTTCTACTATCAAAGGAATCTTGAACATATAGACTAAGAAGGAATTGTTTTGAAGCAAGGAACAGTAGTACCAAAGAAACGTTAGTTTGGTTCACAGTACACCATGTATCTCTACACACACACTGCACATCACACACTTTTTAAAAATAAGCAGTATTGCCGAAACGGTTTGGCTCAGTGGATAGAGGGTTTGTCTGCAGACTGATAGGTCCCAGGTTTGATTCTGGTCAAGGGCATGTACACTGATTGTGGGCACATCCCCGGTGCGGGTGTACAGGAGGCAGCTGATAGATGTTTCTCATCGATGTTTCTAGCTCTCTATTCCTTACCTTTCCTCTCTGTAAAAAAAAAACAACAATGAAATGTATTTTAAAAAATAAAAATAAAAATAAGCAGTATTAATTTAGGAATGTGGGATGCAGTTAATAGAAAGACAACTTATATTTATTTTTTGAATGTGGAGTAATAGCATCTATAAGACTCCTGGCATGCACTCTGACCAAAGAAAAGTGAGACTTTTATAGAAGATAGTTCACGAAAGAAATAACAAAGGTCAGTTTCTGGGTTTGAGAGCAGCTTTACACTGTTTGGAGTTGTCTCACTTTCTTAATTGTACGTTGTTTTCTTAACAGTTTTAGTGTCACTTTTATGTTTGTTGTTAATTTTAGCTATGGTACTTCTACATAATCTGAGGAAGCTGGAAGTAATTAGTTGACATGGGTCAACCAAGTTCTTTTAAGCTAATGATGGTGTTTGAATCTTAGGTGTATATTTTTATTCAAATTTTATATTTGTTATTGTTGTATGTTTTTATTTCTGATTTAATGATGCAGTATAGGATTTGTCATTTTGTTAAGTGAATCTTAAGTAATGTAACTTTAATACCATATATTTCAAATTTTAATTTCTTTTCAAGTTTAGGATTATAATAGGATTATACTTTAGTTTAGATGCAATGTCTATATTTTGAATATACCACATATATGTATTATATTTTCTAAATGTTTAAATCTGTTTTGGAACATATTTTTAAAAGCCCAATTATCTGCCAGATGCAGAAGAATCCTATATAATAAAAGTCTAATATGCTAAGTATCCAGTTATCTGGTCATCTGTTTAACCAATCAAAGCATGATATGCTAATGATATGCTGAGGCCACTCAACCACTTGCTATGACGTACACTGACCACCAGGGGCATACAGTAGACCGGTCGATCAGTTGCTATGACAAGCACTGACCAGGGGGCAGACACTCCAACTGATAGGTTAGCTTGCTGCTGGGGTCTGGCTGATCAGGACTGAGCGAGATGAGCCAATATGCCTTGGAGTCCTCCCATGACCCCTCCCTGGGGCCAAACTCCTGTGTCCCTCCCCGGCCCTGATTGTACACCCACCATTGGGGTTCCTTAGCCTGGCCCTTTCACAATCCAGGACCCCTTGGGGGATGTCAGAGAGCAGTTTTGGCCCGATCCTGCAGGCCAGGCTGAGGGACCCCCTGGTGCATGAATTCCTGTACTGGGCCTCTAGTTGTTTTATATTTTCTATTGTGGCTGCGAGAAGTGAGGCCTTATTATTTATCTCATAATCCAAAAGAGAAACTATGCTTTATATTTTTCTATCAATACACAGAACTGAGAACATTTTCTTACAGCTGTATACTATTTAGCAATTTTCACAAGGAAAATATTCTTTGAATCTGTAAAGTTAAAGGCAGTTAGCCTTACAG